AAATTAGGGGTACCATTTTGGGGGTCCTAATATTAAGGATTGTAATATGTTGGGGTCTATATTGGGGGTCCCCTTATTTTGGGAAACTACCAAATAAGTATCAGGAAACCCATACCCTCTAAAGTATAAAGGATCCCTTACATTGATCCAGCTTAGGGGCAGGGGGATTCTTAACCCTTTTCCCTAAGGGAGGCTATCATATAAAGGATCCCTAACATTGATCCAGAGGCCACTCCAGAGTGCCAACGCGCCCTCCGCGCGGATGATCTGCGACACGGCACGGAGGTATCCGTCATAAGCAGCGGTGCCTCTCTCGCAGCGTTAAGGTTTAGGGTTTAGGGTTGAGGGTTGAGGGGCTTATCCTGTTGATCTGAAAATCTGGTTGACTACTAATACAGCAGTTCCCCAATAGAAAGGCATTGGGGCGGGGTTCCCGACTTACAGGTACCACTGTTGGGGTTCCTAAAATGAGGAAGCATATTGGGTCTATTTTGGTTCCCCATATCTATGGAAACTATCGATTAAGGTCATGTAGCATTTTATCATCCACCATCATGGGTTGAGGGGTTGACGCCAATTTACCAACTTAGCTTAGACATGAAGCGGGTTAGGCATCAGGTTTAGGCCTAAACCCGAAACTCTTACACCCTAAACCCCTGGCTTTCAGGTTTAAGGCTTAGGCTTCAGTAAAGATCCGGGGGCTTGGCAACCGAAGCACGTGGGGTGGCCAGCAATTCCTGATTCACATTGGGTCCCGGCTATGACCCTAAACCCTAAACCCTTTCATCATATTTCCTTAGTAGCTTCACCCAAGTTTTTTGGCTTCTGAATTAAGCCCTGGAACAGCCAAAGCAAAAGAAAACCTGCAGTCTCAGGTGATAATATCTTATCAGGAATCACGAGCCCCTGCGCGCATCCGAATCCTACGGTTTAGGGTTTACGGGCTTAAGGCTTAGGGTTCAGAGGAAAAGTGGAACATTCCAGATCTTTGAAGCTACCCGCTCTGATATGTGTATTTCTCAAGATGAAGGACTTTTCTGCAGGGGCAGAAATGTCGGTTTCCGAAAATCAGAGGCACCGTTTTTGGGAAGCCCTACAATACGGATTATTGTATGTTGGAGTCGATATTGGAGACCCCTATGTTTGGTCCGACAAATGGCAGAGTCCTACCCTCTAGACCCCAAAGCAGATCCATAGCTTCGTGACGTCTGGAAATTTCTCCAGAAAAGGGGCTGTTGGGACCCTAGGGATATTTTCGGGAATACTTAGGGATTCACTTATTACAGATTCCAAAAAAAATCTTCTGAGAAAAGCCCATCTCGTTTTCTGGGAGTTGCGCACATAGACAGCCGGGTGGAGACACATAGACTCAACTACAGGATAGCCTGAAAAGTCCATATGAAAATTCCCTAACTTGGGGGACCCCAGTATAGACAGTATAGACCTGCAAATACTATAATCTCTGTCATAGGGGCTCCCCAAAGAGGCACCCCTCATTTTGGGAAACCTATTATAAGGCGAAGGGGTGCTTCTAATGTTGGAAAATCAGACGATTTGAAAATGAAACGGAAACTAGATTGGGACATAATCGGATATGGGTGGATGTCAAGATTATGCCTTTCTGGATCCTTATAGTACGGCACCTAATATTTAGGGTACCCGAAAAGGCACCATAATTTTGACAACCACCCATATAGGGTTTGAGGTTTAGGGTAGAGGGGGCTCGGGAAACTCTGGGTCCCTTCTAAAGGGGCACAGGGAAAAACGGGCCCAATCATGGAGGTTCAAACGGGAAACGACAGCGAAAAATGGTATGAAGACTGGCGATTGTGTAGGGCATTTCCAAAAAAATGCTTAAACCTTCGGAGGCTCCTACAAGTGGTACCTGAAGACTGGAAACTCCAATGTATTCCTGATAGCAACAATTATGGCTCCACAGGTCTATCGAGAGAAGATGAGGTCTAATACCTTAGAAGATGAAGTCCTAAGCATTCCCACCTTCACGTCTAGTTGCAGTGTAAAGCGTCATGTGTCAACCCGAAACCCTAGTAGACACTAAATGCAGCCTAGACCGTAAACCAATGACTCCAAACCTCAAACAAACTCTAAGTTCCCTGGTAGCAATTAGAAATTGCAGCTGGCTACTAGGTTTATAGATAACAGAAATGTGAAAATTATTTTCACGGAGCTTCCAGTAAACCCTAAGCAGCGCCAAAATGGCTCTCCCGCCTTGGTGTGCAGCCATACGAGCCTCAGTCAACTGTGGTGCAAGGCAATGTTAGCCGGGGTACTTTGGAGCTCTTACATACACCGAACTTATTGGTTCATAGTAGAGAATAAAGGAATGTATGGGTAATTCTCAAAATTATGGACCCTTTTCGGCTATAGATTTTATTACGGCACCGAATATGAAGGAGTACCAAAATGGGACCCCTATTTTGGGAACTACCCAAATGTTACAGGGAGTATGTAGAGAGTACATTCCCTTACTCCCTACTAAGAACCAGTAAGGCAAACACTGCAATGCCTAGGATTCCAGCAAGGCGACCCCTCATTTGGGTTTAGGGTTTAGGGTTTAGGGTTCAGGGTTTAGGGTTTAGGGAAGCTATCATGTGGGTGATGGTCACGATCCCAGGGGTCCTGACTTGGACTCTAAGGGCTTTAGGGTTTTGAACTTAGGGGCTCCGAAGGGCCCTTTCCTGCACGCACATGTTCTTTTTTGTGGGGTGGAACCATATTTAAGCAATCTCAAGCTGTTTAGCTGGACCTTACATGAGCCTCCACAACCCAAAGGCATCTATGGAGTTTGCCTTGATGCGAATCTTGGAGAGAATGGAGTATTACTGAACCCTAAACCCTAAACCCTGTTGAGAATGGATTATTACTGTACCCTAAACCTTAAGCCCTGTTAAAAGGCAAGGAACTCGGAGCAAGTCCAGCGGATAAGTCAGAGTGGTGGCTGTTGCACCCGCCGCGGCACCAGCCAGAAATCGAACCTGCGTTTGTTGATACAACGAATGCTGCATGACCTTAACTACCCTGCTGAGTGGAGAAATTCCATTTACTTCAGGAACTGAGGTCATGCAAGATGTGCAGTCTTTACGGCGTGATCCTTGTTAGTGCTCTAGCTCGATCTTTTGATGAAGTCTGCCAGAAAACGTCATGAGTTCAAAGAGTCAAGGAAGGGGTTGAAGCACGCTCAACATTCAGGACGTGACGTCATCTGGAGTTATCTGCCGGGAACGGACGCTATCATGACTATAGTACAGGTTGGGTGTTCTCAAAACCCTCCTTCTAGAAGCTACACCAGAAGCCTGCGGACGGCCCCACAGCACCCAAATGGACAGTTTCAAGATGGTCCCCGACCCTCAGTTCTCAAACATCCAATCTCCACGCCCCTATCTCTTGCAAACTGCCTTCAACCCCACCAGCTCCTGGCTTTTTCGGCCTTAAACCTGATAGTCTTGAGTCTAGCTCACACTAGAAATCTGCGAGTTCCTCTTCTATCACCAGACAGGCTGAGACAGCTCAAAGCCCGAAACCCTACCCTACATTCTGTACCCCAAAGCTTAGGTCAATCCCTCTGCAGTAATGGCCCCTAAATCCTTGATATACCTACAATAATCCTTTGTGGTACCCAGTACTGGTTGGGGGGTTGACCCAATCCAAACCCCTGTCCCAAACTACCATCCCGAGCCCCGCAAGATACACAGGGTTCGTGTAGGGTTTAGGGTTTAGGGTTCAGGGTTTAGGGTTTAGGGTCTAGAGTTTAGGGTTTAGGGGAGACATTTTGGGAACTTGAAGTCTTCTGGCGCTACAGGGAGTAATATACTACAGGGGCCTAAATAATTACCAACATCATTTTGAGGTCCATTTGAGGCACCCTATACTATAACTATACAAGGAATATGGAACCATAATATTGGTAATTATTCACGTAGGCCCCTATATTAGAGGTTACTTTCAATTTCTACCCAAAAATCATTCCCAGGAATAGCCCAGCATCACTCAGCAAAGAATCAAATGCAAAAAAAAGAAACCCAAGCCCTAAACCCTTAGCCTCAAACCCGAAACCCTAAGCCCTAAACCCTGAAGTTTAGGGCTTAGGGTTCCCTAAACCCTAAACCCTTGGGGGGTGGGAGGGGTGGGACCCAAACCCTAACTTCTTAAATCCTCGTTCCCACACCGTCTCGCAGCTCCAAGCCGAAACAATTTAGGGTTTAGGGATTATAGAGGGACTATTACAGGGGTATATATGGGGATTATATAGGGGGTTTTAGGCTTGAAAGAGATAGCAGGACTTTGTAAATAGGCTTTTAATATCTTTTAATGGGGTAACTGCGGTTCAGATGTGGCCTGTAGGGGTTAGATGTATACTTACCGAGTCCTCCTGGTTCTCCAAGTATACCGACGAAGTTCTGAATCCTTACCCTCCTCCACCAAACAGAAAAAAACTAACGTTTCCAGAACAAATTTGCCATTATGAGTCCAAGAAATACACGCCAATTCATACACCCCACTCCATGCACGCTAAACCTAAACCCTAAACTCATGGGACCCATAGCTCCTGAGTTGGATGATCCATTTTCTAGCATTCCTTATAGTTGCTGCTATGGCATAGCGCATTTATGGGTTTAGGTTCAGTACTGCCCCCCTCAGTAACAGTTGGATAATAGTTATAATATAGCTATACATAGCCCTTAATAGGACCCCTAATATAGACTGTTACTGGATGGGGGCAGTACCCAAGGTTTAGGGTATAGGGTTGTAGGTAAGTCTGGAAAGTCTGCAGATCCAAGCCCGAAACCTGCTGAAACCCTGAGCCCCAAAACTCTACAGGCCTCTCTAAACCCTGAAACCTAAACCCCAAACCCCAACACAACGCTGGATCCTGAACCCCAAAACCCTCGAACTTAAATCCGGAATTTCCCACAACCCTTAACCCTTAATCTTAACCCTAAACCCCTTAACCCTGAACCCTAACCCCCAAACCCAGGTACCTGCACATCCCCAAGGTCTGGCGCTGTGTACCGCAGCCACGCCTTCCATACTTGAGTACGCACTGCCCCTAAACCCTTGGTTTAGGGTTTAGGGTTTAAGGCTTAGGGTTTAGGGCCCCACAAACTTGGAGAGTCAGGGGACTTAGTAAGTAGGTAGCCTTTAAGTTTCAGAGTTCAGGGTAAGTAGGACCACTGAGGACATTATCTAGCCTATGGGGATTATAGATATGCTTATGAAGTCCCCCTGACCCTGCAAGCAGCATTCGAAGGTTGAGCATATATACAGCCTTCCCAGAAGTTGCTTAATATGGCTACAAGTGGGTTCTACGTACAATTTTATTGAGCGTATAAGTAGCTTGAACCTGCCAGTAACAGTCTGGAAAAGGATTAGCACTCAGAGCTTTACATATTCAGATTGTATTTCTTAACGAAGTGTTACTGGGCGCGGGCAACATCGAAGCCATGCTCAGATGGTTTGGGGTTTAGGGCTTCGGACCCTCAACCCTAAACCCTAAACGCTGAAAACAAACATGACAAGAGATTATGTCTCGATGTGGGCCTCCAGTATATTGGGAGATGTGTTGGACAGAATAGCAGAAGATAATACAAGTTAGGTTAGCCCCCACCCACCCATGAACCCTAAACCCTAAACACTAAACCCCTAAACCCCAAACCCTAAACCCTAAACCCGAGTCATAGTGGGATCCCTCTCCAGTCCTTTTTCACATCTATTACTCGGTGGGGGCCTAAACCCAAATACAAGGCTTACTGCTCAGAGTGGCTCCGTACAAGCAATGAAATGCGGTTTAAGGTCTAGGGTTTGAAGAAATGCTTAGGTTCTCGGTCATCTGTGCCTCTAAAGCGTTTCAGGTTTGGACCTTGAGGCTGTGCAAGACACACTTCGACACAAACCCTAAACCCCAAACCCAAAACCCGAACCACACACCAAAACTGGGATCTGCCTCGCAAGAGAAGCCACACTGTCAACCAAACCCAACCAAAAAACAAGCAAACAAATCTATCATAAGATGAAACTTTCAGCCCTCAGGTTTAAGGCGTCTGGTTGAGGATTGTTGTGTTGGGACATTAGGTGCCTTCACCAAATGCAGTCCCCGCTTCTGCGTCCTACAGTGAGAACAGCGAAATTGCTGCTTGAGTGATTTTCCCTGCTTGAGCTAAGCAAAGAAAAGCCTCATGTTGTACAAACGGACTCTAATTTCAAACAGCCCTCACTCGCCCTAAAAAAGCGTGCCCAGCCTTGTAAGGTTCAAAGACCGTGAAGCTGGTCCTGGGCTTTTGGATTCAAATATGGTTGTGGATCTCAAATTGAAATTTACGGTCTAGGCACCTGGACTTAATGCTTAGGATTTAACTTAGCCCACATTACCCTAGGAAGAAAAAAGGATCCTCTTTTCATAAATATGAGGAATCCCATACCCCAAAAAGTATAAAGGATCCCTAACATTGATCCAGTTAGTGTAAAAAAATACGACCAAAACTTATGGTTTCGAGTCTGGAGAGTTCTGCCGGCGTAGATGTTCGCATCAATACCACCCTAAGATAGACACTCTGACCCAGCTCCCCCCAAGCGATTTACTCCATCGGGAGTGAGGGGGACCCGCAGACGAAAGCACATCAGGCATATCAAGAAGAACTGATGCGTACAAAAGGTGAGGCTTTCTGCACATGAGGGGGCTCCCTTGTAGCCCCGATATAATACAACCCTTACTAGACGGAGTCCAAAACAGGAGCCCCGAATTTCAAAACATGTCCCAAATCACGATATTACACCGAAAACCTTCCATGCATATATGCCTATATCTGATTTAAACGCCTAGGGCTTGGAGCTGGAAAAGCTTCCAGTCTGCTGCCATGCTTAAGTTCCGCCACATTCCCATGATCTCCCATGATCCTCTTGATTAGCTCCAGGAAATCTAAGGATATTCATGCATGTTGCCGGCAAAGACCGTATATACGTCCTAGAACTACCAAATCTTGAGCTTCACCAACACTGCAGGAATGTGCCTAGGAAGAACGACAGACAGCCAGTAGTGTGAGCAAGAGTAACAAATGGCCTGCAGAACCATAGCGAGCTAAACAAACAAAAGAAACAACATTCTAACAGCAATAGCCCAGAACCCAAACCATGGGAATGTTATGGCATTCGAGGAGGGTGGCTGGCAGGAGGCTTGGAGCTTCAAGGCTTCCAGTGAGTCTTGCTATACAAGCTTCATGGGTTTTTTTACCGGATGGATTATCAGATATGTTTTGCTTGTTGTTCTGACTCATGTGTTGTGTGGTCGGAGTGTGCTTGGACAGGACACTTCGGGGCTTGATTTGCTATACCGCAACCAAAAGTTGCTCCCATTTTTGCTGCTGCTGTTATCCTTTTCAATCTGTTGCTCTTGTTAACATGAACAATGTGTTGTGGGAATCAGCATGCGCAGACGGAAAGAACACTCCGGAGGTGATTTGCCACATCAATTGTCCTTACCCTGAGCATAATCATCATGATCATCATGAGCACCATCGCCATCATGAGCAGGGCTATTTTCAGAAAACTTTACAATCGGCAAGAGACTGCCACATAACAGCCTCAAAAAAAATTCAATTCCAATGTTTCGTGCGTGCGCACTCGAGTCATGAATGAAAGTAAGCCCAAACGGGGTGGTGGTAATGGTAGTGGTTGTTGTCGTCGTTCCCGTCGTCCTTCGCCTCCTCCATCATCGTAGTCTTCGTCGTCATACTCCTCGTCCTCGTCCTCGTCGTCGGAGGCCTTGTCGTCGTCGTCATAGTCTTCGTCGTCGTACTTCTCGTCCTCGTAGTCGTTGTCGTCGTCGTACTTCTCGTCCTCGTCCTCGTCGTCGTCCTCGTCGTCGTGCTCGTCGTCGTCCTCGTCGTCGTGCTCGTCGTCGTTGTCGTCGTTGTCGTCGTCGTCGTTGTCGGCGTCGTCAGTTGCCTGGCGACGGTAAGGATTTTGAGCATTCAAAGAGGTAGCATACTTCTGCTTGCAATGGGCTTGCCAGGGTACAACAACCTTTTTTGGAGATATGCTGTCATATCATGGGACTTCGGCCTGCGTTGAATTTTCAACTTGAAGTTGATTTGAGGGAAGATTTTCATGACCGTTTTCGGGTTTCCGACGAATCTGGTTATCCAAAGGCCTAGATAACATGTTTTGTGTCTTTTCCGTACGTTTGAACCGTACAGCACCTGTCAAAAACATAGAGAAATAATGAAAGCCTCAACCTGCAACACGGTTGTCATAACGGCAAACGACGAGAGGCGCGGAGTATGGCACCACACGGAGCAGAGTTGCGCCATGCCCTCGCCAGAGCCCAGGAACCTAAGGGTTTGGGGTTCAAGGCTTAGGATTTAGGGTGTAGAGTTTAGGGTTTAGGGTGATGGCCTGAAAGACTGTAAAGACTTCAAAAAAAATTAGGGTTTGGGCTTAGCGTTTAAGTTTAGGGTCGGGGGTGCCCCTAGGTACCTTGGAAGGGCTCATGGGGATGTCTAGCTTTGGGATTAAAAGTGTTGAAGGTGAAAATGGAAGAGACAAGGGCGCATGTGGAGGCTGGGTTGCATCATGTATGGTTTAGGGTTTACTTACCTTTGGTCAGCTGGGAATGGAGGAATGGAGAAGGAAATAGAAACTACTATCATGGGTTATATACGGACTACTATACGGATCCATTCCTTCATTCCTAGCTAACCAAAGGTAACTTTAAGGTTGCTTGTATGTAAGAGCCGGTTTGATTAGGATTGGGTTTGGGGAGGGATTGACTTGTGTGTTTAAAGCGATTAGGAGGGAAAATGCTGGCAACCAACTATGCGGACTAGAGTTTAGGGTGTCGGATTTTGAGCTAAGGATTACGGCTACAGACAAAAATCTTGGAGAGACCTTTCTGCTTAGGTAAACATATCAAGAAAGAAATTGGGCCAGACGGCTTACTTGCTGGCGTTTCAGCGGGGAGAGGGGGTGGGAGTATAGGGTTTTATTGCAATATTACAGGCCGCTTTATAGGAATTACTCTGCGGTATAGTCTTGTTGGGGACAATTAAGCTTAGGGAAGATTTGTTTGCCGTGACTTCTAGTCAGGGTGCGCTATCTTCATTCTGACATTGCTGGTTCCCTAGGATGATTCGCAGGCTTCCCAGCAGTTGAGGGTTTAGGGTTTTAGGGTTTAAGGTTTTAGGGTTTTAGGGTTTCAGGTTTAAGGTTTTAGGGTTTCGGGTTTGGGGTTTAGCTGTAGGGCCAGAAGCTGTGTGGCATGATGCGGGTTGAAAGATCGGGATCTAGAATCTTACTGGCACTTGTGGAAGAGTAGGAGAATGGATCCCTGTAACAAATCCTCAACCCTATAAACCCTATGATGCACCCCCCTAAACCCTAAACCCTAAACCCCATAACCCCATAACCCTAATATAAGCACCAGCATGGCGAAGGCCAGTCGAGGATGGAATTGACATGTAGATACTTCAGCCCAAAAGAACCTATGGGCATAACAGCCCCAAGCAAGATGCGAAATGGTATAGGGATTAGAGTTTTAAGTTGAGGGCTCGCTTTTTAGGTTCTGTTGCCTTAGATTGGATTGCACACCGAAAACTTGGATTGCATACGGTCTGAAAGTGCAGGTGAGTGTTGGGTTTAGATTTTTATGCGTAAGCGTTTGGAATCTAAGGAGGCTTAAGGCTTAAGGTTTCAGGGTAACGGATTGGGGGCGTATGTGTACTTCAGGATCCCCGCTGGGAGCACCCCTGAGCAGGAAGAACCATCATGCTTCACTGCTTTTCCGGGACCGGAAACACTACAACACAGCGTCCACACAAACCACAAGCAAACCCATTACAGTAAAGGACCACTGCTAGGTGCATCCCAAAACACGCCTTCTGAGCCATGGATCTCTTTCCTGAGATGTTGCGCCGAGGAGGGTTGAGGCTTGAGGGTTGATTGCTGGAGGATGTTCCCAAAATCTGGGCCCTCTATCCCTAAACGGACGATAGCAAGGCACACTTCCCTTCAAGAACCTCACACCCTAAACCCTAAACTGCAAAGCCTAAACCCTGACCGCTGCTTGGCCCAAACCTTCCTCTAAAGCCATACTCGGAAGAGTAGGTAGGAAAATTTGTGTCACGCTCAAAATAAAACCAAAAAAAAGCAGGCTGCTTTGTCGAGATTCCATCATACCAAAGCCAAGGATGCAAAATCATACGAAGCCCTGAAATCCCAGCCCCTAAAACCTAGCTGAAGCTCATGCATCCCAATACAACACAGAAAAGCATACACGTAGTAATTTGTCTATCTTTGCAAGGCCCAGCGTCAGTCTGTAGATGACATCACGCCAGGAGAAGGCACGCGTCTTGTCCGTCTGGTAGATTATCTTAACTCTATCCTCAGCGCGTAGGATTTGTTTACGTGCCCTGGAACCCCCTCTCAGAATCAGCTTGAACTGCTTGTTGGGGGGTATAATTTATACTAAGCAGCAAAAACTACAAAGTGTTCAAAACATGTCTGTGATTGAGGTTTAAGGTTTGGTGGCCTGGACTATGTTCTTTCCTGCAGACTATGTTCTTTCCTGCGGCCATCAGTAAATGGTGTAAGGAACCACATGCTTAACAGCAACTTTCAACGCCATGAGGAAAACTATCGCGGATGGCGAGCCAGTACAAGTTCTTACCTACCAGCGCTGTTGCAGCACTTCAAGCGCTCTGCACCGCAAAGCCATGTTGCACACACAGGCAGCATCCTGTCAAAATGTGAAATAGCAGGTCATCCAGCAAGTGCAGCAAAGATGCCAAAGGCGCGATCACAGTCTTGGCCTCAAGAAGTAACTTTACTATTACCATTATTTTTGTTGTTACTATGACTATTAGCTGTTATCATTATTACTATTACTATTACTAATAATATTACTATTACTATAAGAAGCATTGCATCTTTGAAGCTCACACTGTAATCAGTCAGGGCTGCTGACATTCTGCCTGGTGATTGCTGACCTTGTTCTTGAGGTGCGAAGCCAAGATTCCGCTGACTTGCAATCTCAAGGCACCCAATTGGAGGTGAAACCCGAAAACGTGCTTTTGAGCTTGCCAGAAAAGATTCCAGAAAAGGTCCAACATGGCAGTTCGGCAACAGCACACACGACCAGAAAGGGCACGCCTGGAATAAGGACCCGCAAAAGGTTACCCCCATGCCTCCAGCAATAAAGGATCTTGCAAGCACCAGCTTTGCTTGACATTCTGAAACCGCAGGGTTCTCAGAACTTCAAACTGCAAGGTATTTGGGGTGCAAGTTGGGTGTAGTTACCCTGCCTCGGCCTAGCCCAAAACTCCTGAACCCTAAACCCTAAATTAAACAAATCTAGGATGGCCGGGCAAAAACAACTGAACAACTGTTACAACCACTCGAGGGGCCTGAAGACTGCAAACACCCCTATATTGCGTATCTTCTGCTCCGTTGCCACATAACTCGTATGCGGGTTCCCCGAAGCCCTCAAAGAACCTTGGCACTTCAACTCCAGGAACCTACGTACCTTGCCCTACGCCCTGGACATCCCAAAAACGATCCTAAACCACCAGCCCAAAAACCCCCCAACCACCCCCCCACTCAAAAAAAAAACGACGTTCATCACCCAGCGACCACCGCGCCGGCGGCCCCGCCGACGACCAAGCTCTCAACTGCACTGAGCCTCGGTCAAGCTCGTTTTACTGGACTCATTCCTAACTACCCGGTGAAATGGACTCCAATGGGAATACCAAACAGGGAAGCCCTTGAAAGGGACTGTAATGGGAACCCTGAAACATGTTTAGGGCATAGGGGTTTAAGGTGGGAACCCCAAGAATACATTCAGAATATAGTAAGAATTTCCTACTATATTCTTGGGGTTCTCTGCTTAAGGGTTCTCAGCTCAAGCCTTCTTATCTTGAGGGCGGAAGCTTCACTTTTAATAACCTCTTCACTAGGCATATGTAGGGATGCATAGGGTCCAGGGGTATACATGGGTAAACAGGGGAATGGGAAAAGCAAATGGAAGCTACTATGTCATTTACCTAAAACAAAAAATGGCACAGTATTTATACATACTGGTGATCACAATGAATATTGACAATATTTTTACAACAATCTTTCACTTGTAATAACACGAGGGGCTATAATAACAACAATCACAGTGATAATGATAATTGTGGTAGTAGTGGCTATGACTCATATAATTAATGATAGTAAGATGGATGGTGATTGTGCGTGGTCAATTTCAAGACGAGCACTAATACTACTGATAACTAGTAGTAGTGTAGTCGTGTAGAATTTGTTGTCGCAGTCATTGCAGTAGCAGCAGTAGCGATAACACTACGAGTGATAATTGCAATAACAGTAACGACAACAAACGATAACAGTAAGAGAAATGATAATGATAATTTGGGGTTTGGAAGCTTGGAGGTTAAGGGTTGGGTATTTTGGGGGAACGGGTTTAAGCTTGAAGTTCAAGCTTCAGTATCCCCAGTTATCATCTCCCCTTCGCAAAGCTGTAGACGGCAGTCTCCACTTGTTGGCATTGTATCTGATCTCAACATTGGCGCCTAACCTGTTATGGAATCCCAAACTGAATGTCACAAGCCCTCAAGATAGTTTGCAGACGAGAGATCAACCATAGACAGCAAAACGCCCAAAGCGCGGACCATACATCGTCTAAGTATCCGTCTACAAGCCAACATAAAAAGGATGCCTTGGGTTATTCCCCCTTACAGTAACAGCTACCACAAGGGGTAATAGGAATTATAATAGCCCCTTAATAAGGCCCCCTTTAAGGACAGTTCCCTAAACCCTAAACCCTAAACCCTAAAAGTTACTGGGCGAGGGAATGACCGAAAGGATGCACTATATACCCTCACGACCAGGTCCAGGCCTAAAAAACCCTCAAGGCTTGCTGAGACAAGGGTAGGGTTTAGGGTTTAGGGTCTAGGGTTTAGGGTCTAGGGTTTAGGGTTTAGGGTTTCGGGTTTAGGGCTAGCATTTAGGGGTTTAGGGCCTAAGGCTTGTAAGGTACAGGGTTGGGGGATTGAGGGTTTAGGGGTTGAAGATTTAGGGCCAGTGGGACTTAGGAACTAGGCTAATAGTGGGGATTGCTAGGGTTCTTTAGTGATTTATGTGGTTTAGGTTTTTCGAGTTTAGGGGACGACGGGATGTGGGGCAGAATGGATTGGTGGACCTTCACAGGGGCTAAACGGGTATATACCTCTATGTAGCAATTATAAGAACTCCTACAACTTGTGATGTTCCTTACCTGGCCCCAAACCTCACCCAAAACCCTAATCCAAAAACCCCAGGAAGCTCCACACCCTAAACCCTGAGCCCTGAACCTAAACCATAAACCCTGAAACCCTAAAAAAGTGAATCCCAAACCCCAAATCCTAAACCCTACATAACTCATTGTAGAATTTTCCATTTTCTTTTCCATTCCTAAAACTTTACCCTAAATCCTATTGACCCTAGAGCTCCAAGTTGTTTGAAGGAGCTTTTGTGCCGCAGCACCATCGGTGACGTGCCCGCGGCCGGGAAGTGCAACGTACATGTCATGCCTTGCAGGGTTTAGGGTTTCGGGGGTTTAGGCTTTAAGGGTTCATGTTTTAGAAGGTTAAGGGGTTTATGGGTTTGGGGGGCTTTAGGGCTTACGGGGTTAGGGTTAAGGGGTTTAGGGGTTCAGGCTTTGGGGTTCAGTGTTCAGTGGTTTGGGGGTTTGGGTTTAGGGGGTTAGGCCTCAAGGGTTTGGGGTTCAGCGGTTTAGGATTCAGGGTTTTGGGGTTTAGGGTCCAGGGTCTAGGGTTCAGGCTTCAGGGTTGAGAGTTGGGATCTCCACTAGCCGGTTGTTGCATCATGAACCGGGAAAGCCTCAAAACCTCCATGCTAAACCCAAGAACCTAATCCCTCACTTCGACTTTTGACAAGAAGATGCAGGATACTGGGAGCCCATTCTCTGCTGATGCCTTCTGCAGTGCTATTAAAAGAGCTAGATTGCATAAATGAACTCAGGACATGTTATAAACCTTAGATAAATACTTCATTTGCTGGATCCAGTATCACCACATCATAGACACGCAGCCCGTACTGCCTCCATCCCAAATAAGCATAACAGTCATATACCCACATACACAATGGCAGTAACCCATATTTTGGGAAACTACCATGTAGCATTCTGGTTGCTGTTCAAGAACTTCCCTAAACCCTAAACCCTAAACCTCAAGCCCTTAAACTACTTAAAGGAGGTTACCACAGTAACAGCCTACATCAACTTCAAGAAGTCTAACACCCTAAACCCTAAACCCTAAACCCTAACGGTGCTTTGGAGAATCCCTCCTGAAGGCCCAACCATCTCTTTACCTACCTGCAGCCACAAGCCTTGGCCTCTAAAAATGGAAAAGAAAATGGAAACTACAGGAATTCTGGGGATTATATAGGGGTTATATAGGGATTATAGGGAATGTATATTTGGAGCTATATAGGGATAATGGAAACTAGAATGGAAACTTGTATAGTATATATATATTGGGGTTATACTTTAGGACGTAGGGTTTAGGGCTTAGGGTTTGCCGCTTTCTCGATACTGGGTGGTACTCTAAAAGCCTTCCAAAAATGGTTGTTTGAATAGGTTCCCTTACGCAAAAATAGGGCAAAGGAATACTTGTCCAAAAGTGCCACCTAGGATAAGAATTTCCTCAACTCGGGTACATGCTAGGAAGCTGGAACATCTAAAATTCTGTTGCTGGGTTGAAGTTAAGGAACTTACGTTAAGTTGCTATCATGGGGGGAACCATGTAAATTACTGTAGATACCCATCTTGTGACTTGGATTAACTTCCTTAACAGCAACCCAAATTGGGAAGTGGGTATGCTGTAGGAATTGAAAAGCTCGCCTCAGAATTAGATCCTGAAAAAGGTCATATAACAAATAGCACGTTTCCAAGGTGTAACCATTTGCCAAACAGACCGTGAATGAAGTCTGGCAGGCACCTAGCACCCTTTCATAACAAGCAAAGACAGATGCCTGGAATATTGACTCTTTATAAGTGGCACTTCTAAACCAATTACATACAACCCCCTGATTGATCCACCATGTCTACACTGACGAAAGTTTGGGACATTCACAAATGTGTTGCGAGACCCTCGACATGGACGAGGCAAAACCTTGTGGCTCCTTTTAAAGGTGCTGCAGTTGGGCTGTTGAGCCTGCATCGTGTGAGCTGGGGAGTTTCCCCCAGAGTGCTTCCCATGAGAAATCTCTACAGAAAGGCAGCACATGAGTCCAGGCAAAGGAGAAAGAAGCCCTGCCCCGATTGAGCTGGAAGCGCCCCAGCCTTACATCCAAAGCGCAAAAACATCCTCTACATCTGACATTCTAGCTACAGTATATTCTAGTGCCACAAGTAGGAGTCTTTGAAAAAAGCGGCCCATGGAATTTAGAACATAAATGCCATTGCGACGGCATCTTCGAGGTGCCCACGGGAGTTTCACAGATAGCTTCTCCTAAAAAACTCCAGATACGATAGCCCACTAATCCCGTGAAATTCCTCGCATCCCCTTGGCATTTCCTGCCCTCCTCTTAAGAAACTCCCTTTCTCTCTACCCCAAACCTCAAGGTCATATCAAGTAACCCTGGCAAACCGCCTGCAGGTTTCAAAAACAGTTACATCTGGCTACCAAGGAATGAAGGAGTGGAACCTTGTAGTAATAGCTATGTGACACCCGAAGATATTTCAGTTTCCATTTTCTTTTCCATTCCCTTAGTTTCACATCCGGGATGGTAGTTTCCATTTTCTCTTCCATGCCTTCATTGCCCGCACAAGACGTAAAGACAAGGCAAGGTGCTCGTCTGAGGCTCGACGCTTGTGCAAGATGCCTCCGATTTACAGACTCATCATGGTTACCTGCCCTAAGCAAGACCTTGCCCAACCCCCTGATAACGAATGTTCCTGGACAATGTACTACAAGGGGGGAACTGTGTACTAGGTAGGTAGGTAGGTAGATAGGTAGGTAGGTAGGTAAGTAGGTAGGTACACGGTTGAAAGCTGAGGGGTGCAACGTGCCAAAATTTCCGATCTCGTTGGGGGTCCTCAGGGGCCTTCTCCCGGGGCACTGTACAATGTTTGGCTGAAGCAAGGGACAATAAAAAAGTACATGCTAAACTGCTAAAGGAAATGGCACGGATGTGCAACACGAGAACTCTAGAAATGTGTAATTTGTGTACGGCTTCTGGGATCTGTGCGAAAGCAAGGCAATTGCAAACCAGTAAGCCCAAGGGAAACCCTCTTCCCACAATTCGTTTCCCGCCATGTTTGCTTGCCTTTCTGGAAAGCCTAACCGGACCCCCATATACCCAGAACAATGAGCTTTAACATTCTTATTCTGGGGTACATAGTAGTTTCCCAAAATAAGGGGACCCCAATATAGACCCTAATATACTATAATCCTTATTATAGGAGCCCCCAAAAAGGTACCCCTAATTTTGATAAACCTCCACATGCGATCATTGCAGCTATTTGGGAGGTCTAGGCTCGCACAACATTAAACCCTAAAAGCTAAAAACTCCAAAGCCCAAAGGGAGCCTGTCCGCTCTTCCGCAAAAAGTAATACAAGCGCCTAAATAGATGCCAACATCATTTGCATTATAATCTAAACTCCTTAAACAAGGTTTGAGAGGGATTATGTTAGGTTTAGGGTTTAGGTTTTCGGGTTTGGGATCAAAACTCCTTAAAGGGATTATGTAGGGGATTATAGAGGGTTTAGGGTCTAAACTCCTCAAGGGGAATTATAAGAAGTATTACACGGGCTACTCAGGGGGATACTAGGAGTTCAGTCTATAACTGATTTTGAACATTGTTTGAGGTACCCTATAACATACATAACTATACAAGCAATCTAGGACTAAGCCGTGGTAATTATTCAGGCTCCTACACCACAAATCACAGATCAGTGTTCTGGCCCAATCTCAATCATAAACTCGCTGGGCCGTTCCTCAGCAAGAGTTAAACACATCTTCATGTTCTACAAACACTCTCACGATGTAAAGCCCCCAACACTAAGGTCCGAAGGCCCAAGCCCCAAATCCAAAAACCTCATGCCCCAAATCTTCTCACTGAAAACTCTGAATGCCTTCGGAGACAAGCCACCCTTGAGCACGTCATTGACGCCAAAGGCCAAGCCAACCGTCAAGGGTCCCTTCAGCCAAACGATGGAGGCGCCTTCGATCAAAAGGATCCAGATTCTTCAAAATCAACACACACAGCTGCCAACAGTTGACAGGATTGAAAACTAAGCCTTCGTAGTTAGGAGGTTTGGGTCTCGCTGGCAGGCGTACATGTGGTCATATGATAGTACAGCCATGGTAAAACTAAGTGTCGCAAGCAGTTGCATCGTCGTCCCTAAACCTTGAACCCATGATCATGCCAAGGAGGCCGCACATTCTGCAAGGGCAGCAGATAGAGTGAAGGTATACTCTGCACTGTTGATGTAGCTGGCCCATGAAGGCCCCCAACTTAAACAGAAACCGAAGTTGTCTAGGTGATAATTCTCTTCAAGATGCCTTGAAAATCCTGCCGGAGGAAAACTGGAAGCCTGACATATCATCATTGCCGTGTACCATGCGCACTTGTCCGTCGCATGGTATGGGGCTTGAGACCCTTTCGACGACCCACTATGTAGCGAGAGCGACCTTCTCTGCGTGGTTTGTCTTTTCAAATCAAGACAGACACTGCCTTGTGCGAGACGACACTGGGACAGCAACCATTGCAGGATTTTAGGGCTTTATGGTTTGCAGATTGTTTCGCAGAATTGGAGCCATTCGCAGCCACTGCAAATCTTCTCATGGCTTTCGAAGCCAAGAGGACTCCTTGGCTTCAACCAACATAAGCGCTCCTTGCGTCGGAGCCTGGCTTATAGCACATGTTTCACTCAGCATTTAACCTGGTCTGTCTTTATGCACATGACAAAAGTTGCATGGCGTAAAATTGATTCTCTACTTTTACAGCTGCAAGAAAAATACCCTTGGTCACAAGAATTGCCTGCTGTTTTCACAAACTCAGCGAAGCTTTCAGACCCTGGATGACCAGAAAACACATCCGTTTGGATCCTTTTTGGAAACGGACACTCTCCAACCACCTGAAAATCATGATTGAGAATCAAAAAAGGTTTGTTGAACAAATAATGGCCCGCCTTTGGTACAGTGCCTACGGTAAGGATCATGATCCATAATATTGGGCAGTGTGCAAAGGGAACCTCAATTCAAGGAATACAGGCAAACCTGTACCCCAAACCTTGCACCTTCAACAATAGCCAGCCTCGGTATAAGGCCACGAACCCTTCTGTGGTGTGGATTTGTCGAAACGTCTCCCTGCAGCTCAAGCTTTACGGTTGAGGGTTAAAGGTTTAGGGCTTCGGGCTTAGGGCTTCAAGAGCTCTAGAACAGCAGAACAAACCAAAGCGTCTTGTGCAAAAGAAATAAACTTTAAAAGAAAAAAGAACTAGCATCATGCTGGCTCGATTGGAGCATGGCAATTACGACAGCAAATGACCCTTGCGGGTCGTTTCTTGAATTTCCTAACACCTCGGTGCAAAAGGAATGCTTTAATTTTAGGATGGGTCTTAACACGACATACATTGAAAACTTCACCAGCAGAAGACACATGCTACAACGTCTATTCTTGCAGTACCCTCCCCCTCAAAATTAGGCCCCATCAGATTTACCCAAGAACACAACGGCACTACACTGCGGGTGTCCATTTGTCAGGGGGAGGTGAGAGTCATTGCTAGCCCAAAAAAAAAGCCTAGTGCCTTAGGTTCGATTTGCTTTGCCATTCCTTTGTGGGTACAGTAAGGGCTTTAGGCTCCAAAGTTCTGACTTTCAAAGCGGCACTTGATCTGAAATCAAGGGTTCCCGGAAAGGCTTCCAGGAAGCTTGAGCATTGAAACTACGAAAGCCAAGGGTTTTGAAATTAAGCATTTTCTTGATCCTGTAACCTTCAAATCCTCGAGACAATAATTTTTCGCGATAATAAAAGGAGCTTGTTGGCCCCCATTCCTAAAAATGTCTCCCCATTATTAGCATATGATAGTTGTAGGACCCTGATTTTGCGATTCAGGGCAGCCTAAACCCTTAGCGCTAAACCCCCATCCCTAAACAGGATTGCCCATGTACTTTCCGGGCTCCACCCTGGCCTCCGGGACCAATGCGGTTTGGGGTGCAGGGTTTACGGTTTAGGCTTAAGTTTTTGGATAGGGCTTAGAGGGTAATTGGAACTTACTGACATTATGGGTTCCCTAAACATTGGAAGGTTTTATGAGGGCGTCCTCTGGGTTATATACCCTTTATACTACCCCCCAAGGCTCCCTCTGTTAAAAAGATTGACTACGGAAGCCTGCGGCAGGCCTTACATATACGCGTATAGAAATAGGATGAGGAATCCCTACTAGGAGTCCTTCGAAAAACCACGAAACCTCAAGTCGCCTGATGTTGTTGTAAGTTGCTTGGGACCCTAAACCCTAAACCCTAAACCCTAAACCCTGGACCGTTAGAATTGGGTTGTAATTGCCCTCGGCTTCCAAGTGTCCATCATCCAAAAAGTTAAAGAGCTCTCAAGGGTGACAACAATCGAAGGCTATAGGTTTAGGGTTTAGGGGTTTAGGGTTTAGGGTTTAGGGTTACATCACCAAATACGTATTTTCATCAAAATCAGTAGCTGCAAAACGTCATTACCTGATCATAACTCAAACCCTATGTCAATCACTATACACTCCTGGCTTTCGTTCGTGTCACTGTCCATTTGATTCTCCATTTTCCCCTACCACAGGGAAAGAAGGTCTAGTGAATGAGGGCTTGCTACATACCTCACATAACTCTACAAACCCAACTAAGAGCCCATAGTTCGGACCCAGACAAGGCTCACATTAAGGGCTGGGCCCTCAAAGGATGAGGGTTTGGAGGTTTCGGGCTTTTCATTTGGTAGTTTCCCAAAACAAGGGGACCCTGATATAGGCCCCCAAATACTATAGTCCTTATTATTATGACCCCCAAAATGGCACCCCTAATTTTGGGAAACCCCCCTTTAGGGACCTGACATCTGCGCCGCCTGATGTTGGCATAGGCCAGAGACCCTTGCGCACCAAGCTCCTGAAGGCAAGCCATAGCTTTGGAACCGTATACCCTAAACCCTACATACCCTCAACAATACGCGCTACCCCAAACCCTAAACCCTAAGCCCTCAAGCGCGTGGTAGGGTTTAGGGTTTACGGGTTCGAAGCCAGGTACCTCATATGAAACAACCTCGGATCTCGAACATATTTTCACCACGAGGAACAGTGCCACGAAATAGTACTCCTTGTTTCCGCACCCTACACCCTAAACCCTAAGTGTTTAGTGGCAAATTTCAACAAGAACGGTTTTCAGGAAACCCAAAACACACATAAGAAGACCTGATAATGAGGATACTGGTACTTTCAGAAACGTTCTCTCGGGACCTTTTGGGCTATAGTCTAACTCCTGAAGGGGAGGTTAAAAAGGTGATTATTCATAGAGGGGAGTATTCTAGGGGTTACTAGGGGGGATACTAGGAGTTTAGACTACGGTTCATTTAGAATTTAACTTTCCCGTGGCTTGGCTGAGGCTATAAGTGTTGTGGCTACTGTGGAGAGACAAGACGGGTTTAGGGTTTAGGGGATCAACATAAACATGTCAATAGAAAATGCAGGAGCCGAAATAATTATCAATATTACAGTCTGAGAAGCCATGTAAAATTCTGGTTCATTGAACCGCCAAAAAAACTTCAGCATCATATTTGTAACTCTTCGGGCTTCTATTCTAGACGATTTCACCGTGAGTGTACCCCTGAAATTGTTGCAAAGACTTGGTTGCCTTTTGGCATTTATATGCGTTGTCATGACAAATGTTGAGGTCCTTCGTTAGGAGATTTTTATCTACACAGAACGTCGTTTAGCTGGACCCCGCACCCAGTAAAAGCGACTATAAGGGATGATGATGATGATGATGATGATGATGATGTTAGGTATTCCTATTATACCACTATAGCCGGGCGTGGGGTCTATTTTTACAGTATTGTACATTCAGTCCATAAATTGGGACCCCCTGTTATTGGAGGTCAAAATTCACCTCCCCCAAGGATTTTTACCCCCTCACCCCACCATAATAAATATTCCCCGAACATATGGTACTGTATTGGAGGGGTATGATATTCGGGTGATTAGAAAGAGCCTGGGCCGCATGCATCTTTCAGTTCACGGTTTAGGGTATGTGGTATGCAGGAGCTTTACATGGGTACACTTTGACACTGTAACACATTCTACAAGTGCAAAAGCCATATTGGCATCGACCTGTAAGGAACGTATCGCAAACACCCGGAAATGCCACCACACGTCATCATGCAAAAGCTGGATTCAGAAGATATCCGCTGCATGACCTGAACTCGAAAAATGCCAAACCCCACGAACAGCAGAGCCGTTGCGAAAACGAACCCACCGAGGCACCTCCGGGTATGGAAGCTGCATTCTTCGCCGCACAGTCTGGATCCTATACAAGCGCGGTCCAAAATGAAGCACAATAGAAAATTGCAAAACCCATCATATGTTTGTGCAGAGATTAGGCTGTAAGGGACCTACCTAATACAGACCCTACAAAAGTCATGTGAGTCACAGTGTCCTTATTCTGGGACGCTGGCTAGCCAAAAATCCTCTTGTTATCTTACCCCTGAACCCTACATTAAACTCCTAAACGCTAATAACCTCTCTGATCCGTTTGAAAGCAAAAGCTCAAAAACTGAACTGCTATTGTAAATTCCTGCCATGGTTCTGGCATGTGGTAGGTTGTCAACATGGTAACGTGATGGTTCCATGTCGGGCCCCATGAGTATTCATCCCTACTACAAGGGGTACCCAACAAAATATCAGGGTCTTTGTAACCTGCGCTCAGTAGCAATGAGAAAGTAATAGTGATAGTGACAGTAACAGTATTCGTAACAGCGGCAGTCGTGGTAATGATAAGAAAAATGGCATTGGTAATTCTAACACCAAAAGTAATATATTGGTAGTACTACCACAACTAATATGAAGAGGGCTAGTCTTACGTCGACTTTCAACCACAGCTGGCATACCCGGAATTTCTGCGTCAACAGGTCCCAGGCACGGGTACGACAGCAGCTGCGCTGAAGCACCGCTGAGGCTTCCCGCTGCTAGCAAGTGATGCAACGGCACCTGTGATGGGCGTTGCAGATGCAAAAGCACGATACCTCACAGAGAAAGGCTTTACGATTTGGAGAGTGAGGAGTGAATGACGGTTTATGACAAATTAAAATTTCATGTCAACTGCGCCATTTCAACACACAATGATCAATCTAGTTCCGGGAACTGGATAACAGGCTATATCAAGAAAATACCTTGAAAGAGGGCACGGGGTGCCTCCACAAATACTGGTAGGCTAGTTGGTGATCCATTCTGAGGCCGGAGTACAGCTTTCATCAACATGATTTTCAAAAAGACCTGACATGTTTATCTCACGTCTTCCGGGCACTGGATCTTTAAGGGCTTGCACGTCACAGTTCCTGATGTTGGCTCACATATTGTTACCCGAAACACGCATGGCAGCAAGCATACAAACGGAACGATTTGAGAATCCCAGACTACGAAAATGACTTCTGCTCGGCGAACGTGTGAGCTAGACCCTGACATTGCAAGATTCTAGTTGCACAAAATGCATGTTTCAACTGTGAAATTGTGCAAGAAACTACGGCATCGTGAATAATAAAAACATCCACGAAAATCTTTTCCAATCCGTGAAGACTAGGCACATCTGCATCGCTGGACACGCCTGAGAGATCAAACTTGGGACCAGGCTACATATGGCAAATTAATTCAATATGAGGCACTTGCGAAACAACCAAAACCGTGATTCAGTTTACGAAAGTATTGAACACAAAACAGCAAATGCCAACCAACATCCAAAGCGCGATGCCATTGCCTCAGCTTTCCCTTCGAAAACTCGAAGGCTGAGAAAGACAGCGCACCGTAAGGGCCGATGCCCAGCAGTGTTGGGGATAAACCCCGAAACAGACCTTGAAAGCCTTCAATCTGAATGATGCCTTGTACCGCCGCAGAATAATTTCTGTACCGCGGCACTGCCTCCAAGTGGCCAGCAATGCGCGTTCGAATGACGTCTAACGGGTATGTAGCGATGGTTGCAGTCACCGCCGCTGATGCACCAGCACAAGCGGGAATCCAAAACGGTGCAAATGGCGATGTTTTGGCCTGTGGCATCTTCGCCAAGCGCTTCTGAACGGTTTCAAACATCAGGAACTGAACACCTGCAAAGGGCACTACTCGGTAGACAGTGGCCATGTGACCATACCATAAACCCTGCGGGCCAGCAAGTCGAGCAATGTCTTGGGCGAGCTCAATCGCGCAACGAAAGCTGTAGACTTTGGAGGGTGTAACTTGGTAAATGAGACGCACGCGATCCAATGGAGCAGTCACGGTCTTGGCAACCACACCTGCAGAATTTTGAAGCATTTTCGGATAAAAAATCGCAAAGGATTTGGCCGTGCTCAAAATTCCAGTTGCGTACGGCGGCTGGGTGAATAATTGCCTCTTGCCATGTTCCAGCTTACCTACACCCCAGTCCCCAACCCAGAGCATTAAAAATGTGGTGTTAGACCGTGTCAACTGGAGAAATCTCTACAACCCGACAAAGCTTCAAAAAACATAAACGCTGCCTGGCGATGTTGCTTCCAACTTGAAGTTCATCTCAAAGAATGTAACGTGAAAATTATGAGCAAGGCGTGCCTGCTGTAGAGCCAACCACCAGAAGCTCCACCGGGCTCAGCTCTGCTTGTCCTCGCGTCACCTGCAAGGACCCCCGGCTCAGTGTTCCGATGTAAGAATTAAGTGCTTGAAATCCGTGAGTTATTAGGAATGGAAATAACTGCCAGAACGTCAATAGTGCCAAAACCCAAATAAACTGATGTATTCTCCCAAAAAAAACTCTTGCTTCAAATGCTGAATTTCAGACGTTGCACCAGTGCCCCAAGTCCTGCTGCTGGGGCGGCGGCATCTGCCTGCAATAAACCATTCCAGGCTGATAAAAGCTCGATGTTTTTCAAAAAATCCTGGCATAACATCTTGAAACCACCCTGAGAAAGTGCCAACGCTAACTCAAAACTCATTTCAAGTACGGTCCAATCCACTTTGGCCTCTGGCCTGGAAAGAAGGGTAGTGGCGGGATGCTGCAGCACCCGACGGCTTGCTCGCGATGTGCATGCCGTTCTGGAAGCCCATGGCTTCGAAATGGCATGAGACCCAGCTCCTTGAAAATCTAAGCCTCCGTTGGATGTCAATCGGTATCATTCTCATAAACCCAGCGAACCTACGTAAGTTTAAGTTCAGCAAAAGTTTGAAGTCGTATATGTATGTTCGCTTCTCTAAAAATGTCATATCTGACTCCAAGAATGTTTGCACTTTGCATGTGCAGGACACTGGCATTTTAACAATGCATCTGTCAACGTCTCAAAACCGTTTGAACCGTTTGGGACACCTGTACAGTAATTCACGCTTTCACAAGCATGTAAGTTGGTAGCAAAGCTGCACACAGCCATCATATCAACGAACGTGATTGTAAAAGAGGCGAGTTATGTCCCATCATAAAACGCGAAAAAACACCACCACCCTGGTCCAGCTACAAGCAATATGTCGCGTCACGCTGTGCGAAATCACATCAACAACAATAGAAAGTGTTGCCCTTGTGCGAAGCGATGCCCTCCACACACGGGCCATCTTATGAACACATACAAAAGAGCAAATGATGAGAAAAATCGTTGATACATTTACCACAGCATGTTGGCTATCCGGAGTCCTCCACAAGCCCATGCGCCCTGCATGCTTTGCAAATTGGAGTCAAGCGTTTACACAAATGCAATCCTTGATGTGAGTTGCCGGCATTGACATATACAAGGATGAGCATGTGAAATCACATCCAAGAATGGGCCAGGAATTAACCGCGAAGCCATGGGTCTCCAGCCCTTGGGTTTTGGAGCAAGTTCCGAAGCGCGTTCCGGAGCAGCTTCTGTGATAGTTTTCGGAGCAGATTCCGGCGTGTTCTTCAGAAGGTCCCATAGCATAATTTGCTGAGTTGCGGTTCATCCACCATTAGCAGATAGCCGCGCGTGTGATACTTTGGCCAAAAGGCCTCAGAAATGCACCACTCTCCATTTCTGCCTCTCAAACGTTATTCGCCTTTTTTGTAAGCTTCCAAAGGGTGGATCACATCCTCAACGGTTCGTGGTTTTGAAATGGGTTTCTATGGGGGTCTCCAGCCCTTGTTCTGGAGCTGGTTCCAGGGCGAGTCCCTCGTGTGGGAGCCTTTTCACTGCAACATATTACACGTGCCATCCCCTTTTTAAAGACACGCAAACAAAACGATCTGTCTATCAAAATTTGATTTTATAAAATGTTCCACGAGCCCTTGAAGAATCACACCAAGACTGAACAAATGTTGCAGGCTTGGGCTAACAGATGACGGTGGCATTGGATTTTTAACTCTGATTCTCTTGGCTGGTGGTAACGTTCCTTGTAAGCGCTTCGTTGTTTTCCTCAACTATGAATTTGAGTTGGTGGCGTTTGTTTCACTTCCGTTCGTTCTCGCCACGCAATGAAATTGATTAATGAAGGAAACAACCATGAAGGATAGAACCGTCACATCCAGATAAGAAAAAGTGAAAAAAAATTCTATAATGAAACTACAAAACAACCAGAACATGCAAGGAGAAAACAAGAGCTAGACCCCAATTATCCCGTTAGCAAGGGACGCGTATCTGGCCGTGTTCTAGGTGCTGCGGACGTGGGTTTTTGTAGGTGCCGCGGTATAGGTGCTGTGGTGTACGTGGTGCGGTGTAGGTCTGTGCTGTATGTGGGCGGTGTAAGTGCTGTGAAGTACTGCCGCGGTCTCGTTGCTGTGGTGTATGTGCGGGGTGTCGGTGTCCTGGTGTTTGAGCGGTGTCGGTCCTGTGGTGGGCAGTGTAAATGTACATGTGGTGTAAGTGCTTGTGAAGTACTGGCGCGGTGTTGTTGCTGTGGTGTATTTGCGCAACGTAGGTGGGGAGCGCCGGCCCATGGAGCTTCCTGCGAGTTCTGTTTGGAATCGACGACCTTCTCGCTGTTTTGGGCGCGTGGAAGCGCCTGCACTGTGCACACACCACAGCAAGTACACGGTGCCAGTACACCAGGGCGCCTACACCGCCCACCACAGCACCGACACCGGTGACAAACACCAGGACACCTACACCGGGCACAAACACCTAAACCGCTCGCATACACCAGGAGGGCCAAAAAAAGCAAGAGGGTCAGAGCCATCGATTCCAAACAGAATTCGCAGGATGCTCCGCAAAAAGCAACGGGAGGGTCGTCGATTCCCAACATAATTCTCAGAGTGCTATGCGCGGGCGCTCCCACCCGCCGAATAAAAGCGAGATGGTCGTCCATTCCAAGCAGAACTGGAGGGACGCTCCACGCGCCAACGCTCCCACGCGCCCAAAACTGCGAGATGGTCGCCGTTCTTAAACGCAACTCTCAGGACGCTCCACGCGCCAGCACTGCCATGCACCCAAAACAGCGAGATGGTCGTCGATTCCAAACAAAACTCTCAAAACGCTCTACGCGCCATCGCTGCCACCTGCGAGAGGGTCGTCGATTCTAAGCAGCATTCCCAGAACGCGCCAGCACTCACAAGACGGCCGTGGGCCAAACACATACCGGCGACGTTGAAAATTTGCACGGCACCACAGCGAGAGCGTTTCGACACGCTCGCCGCAAAGGGTTTGCCGACGACGTTGAAAATTCGCACGGTGCCACAGCGAGAGCGTTTCCACACATCCCCGCAAAGGGTTAGCGAAGCCGCCCTAAATTTGCACGGCGCCACAGCGAGCACGCTTCGACACGCATGAAACCCGCAGAGGGGCGCATCCCGCCTGCCACCAGCAGCCCAGCCCCGGCTAAAAAATAAGAGAAAATAGAACAGAAGAGTGTATGTCACATGGGCGGTGTAGGTGTTGCGGTGTGCTGTGTGTGTGTGTGTTGATGTAGGTGCTGTGTTGCGGTGTAGTCGGCGGCGTAGGTGCTGTCGTGTGGTGTACGTGAGCGGTGTAGGTGCTTTGCTGCGCTGGCGAAGACACAGATGGAATTGCATCAGCTGACTTTAATGTGTGGCCCGGAGCCTTGCTAACGCTGTACAAACTCACCAAATTGCTACTGACATTTCTCTCTGCAATGTGATGATAATTGATCCTCAGCCGGGGCTGAAATCTTGCGCTGTCCTCCCGAAAGAAGAAAGTCAAGAAGGTATGGCGCACGGAATTTGAAATCCACTGCCTGAAATTTTAACCCCTGCTCTTCCCCTGGGTATCGTATAGCTGGCCCACAGCTCCCGAATGTAATGGAGCAGGTTCCGGATGCATCATCTCTTGACCGAAAACCCAAAGACCGAGCCGCATTTGCAAAGCGCAGATGCAAGTTCGGAAATCTTGCGCGCGCAGACTGAGTGAAAAGGGACAAAGCGCGCAGGAGCCCTGCGCCACAAAAAGCCCAATAATTTCATTCTCGAATTTGTCTGCGTCTATGCCTCAACGCTGCTCTGCTGCCATTGCCCGACCTTCGATACATTGTTTTTTGTTGAATCTGGCAGTTTCCGCCCGAGAGCTCGATTTCAAAACAAAACGCAGGATGCTCCAAGCAAGAGTCCCATTCCGGAAAAATGTGTGCAGTACAATGAGGCGTACACAATTATCACTGGCAAGATTTTTTGATGCGTGAGTGGGCACATTGTTTTTATATTTCAAAACAGGGTGTAGGATGTGAGTTGTCGTTTTTTCAAAGTTTTATGTTAAGATCTGAATGTTTCGCAGCTTTTCATACATAGAGAATTATGACAAAAAGAGCACAACAACTGTGTCTTACTGAGGGCATGGAAGAAGTGCAAAACTCCAGCTCATTCTCGTGAACTCGCGCAGCATCAAAAGAAGCATCTGCCAAGAACCGGAGCTTACGTGTCTCCTGCCTCTTGTATCTTTCTTACGGAGAAGGGAGAATTCCATTCTTAAGAACAGAAGTTTAGTTTTACCTGGTGCCTGATCGGGTGGTTAATTGGTTGTATTTGAGAATACAATACCCTCTGCTAAAAATGATCTTCCAATGTTTGGTAGTTGGTGTGGTTTTTGGGGGAAAGGATAATTACATGTGAGCACCTGACTTTATGCGGAGATGTTACCCATAAATGTTTTGCTTTCATTCTTACTATGCGGAACGAGGTTGCGCTTTACAGGGAGCATATCGAGAGTTTACTATATGTATGGAAATACATGAGGCGTAGGAGTTCGTGAAACAAGTTGGAAATTGTTTTTGGCGGGACCAGCTAGTCCCTAGAAAATAGTTTTCCTTTGAGGGCGTCCTAGAAGTACATATTTGGAGACTACAGGGCGCCAGCACTTTCCATTGGGAATGATCAAAAAACCACAACCCCTCTCTCCCCCCAAAAAAATTAGACCGCGACTATCCCGAAAGCAATCAGTTCCGACGTTAAAGGGACGCTGTGAAGTACTGGCGCGGTCTCGTTACTGTGGTGTGTTGGACTTCAAGACATTTTTTTGTTCTTGTCGTAGAACTAAGGTAGTAGAACCATCCGTTTCTTCTACTGTCACGCAAGACGGTAGCATGGCAATCTTTTTATGAGGATACTGACGACCGCCACGAAGTCGACGATTTGTGACATCGGTTGCAAGGGCGTAGATGGCATCACACCATACACGTTCTTGATGGTGATATCCCGCAGGTTTCAGCATCGACCCACGATAGCAAGTCGACCAGCCAGCGTTCGGTGTGGTTGAGATCAGCGCTACCGGTGGGCTCCTTGCGGGAGAACACATCGCCAATGCACCGTGCGGGGATGACTAGCCTGCACGGCTACCGTGGCGCGCGCAAACCTCTCTTGACTTCCCAACCATGGCTGAGACAATAGCAGCACCACCTCACGCCTGCCAACTTGTCAACAGCAGCCAGCAGCAACTAGCTTCCGTGCGAGTACGTCCCTGCCTCTGCTTTTGAGAGTCTGTGGGTCGCAACCACTCATGTGTTTTGCCTCAAAGGTTTCCAAGGCTTTGAAGCAACTGCAGGCTGGTGGGGCCAGACACCGCAAGGAGCCACAGGCTCCATTGTAAAATCCATGCAGCAGAATCACTGCGCGTCAAAATTTGGTTTCATCCCTGACAAATTGCTGGCGATGCTTCCAGGAG